AAAGTTTTGCCACGTGGAATGCCCGATCAGTAGCTCTGATCAATCAGGACACGCCGTGTGGCAACGGACACTGACGCAGTGCCATGCGGGAGGCCACTTGGGTGATCGCATGCCCGTGATTGAACGGACCAAATCCATTCCGCACGCACGAACGGGCCAAATGTATTCCCTCCTCAAAGGCGATCGGATGGCCAGATTTAGACGCAATCAGATGGCCCAAATTAGATCGCGATGTGCAGTTCAGATTGGATCGCGATGAACGGTACATATTCGCTCCCGATTTAATCGCGATCGGACGGTCCAGATCAAACATGATGAACGGCCCAGATAAAAAACGGATGGATATAAATAACCTCCATTCGTACCAATCCTTAACCTTAGTTGCCAGAATTCCTCGCTGGAGAACCGGCCGCCGGAAGGACACCGCCGCTGCACCGGAGCTTTTTTTTTATCACCAAAAAAGATAAAAAAACTTTTTTTGCTCGAAATTCAATTTTAAGCACACCCATGGCCAAATCGGAGCAAAAAGACTGGTTAATTGGCCGAAAAACTCCGGCGAAGCCCAGGGGCACCATCGTAGGAAATTTCACAAAATGCCTTCGATGAGACCCTTCTTGTTTTCCGTTTTGTGTAATTTTTTCACCGTTGTGATCACCGTGTCATTCTCTACAGGTTGACCAGAGCAAAATACCCAACCGCGATGTGAGTTGGAGTAGCCGCCGCACCGGAGGGCCCTACAGCTGGTGAGTTTCGATTTTTTTATATTTTTTCGATCAACCAAGGCCCTTTAAAGTGTTTTCTAGCTGGGTTCGATGTAGAATCGGTTGAAAACAACCGATCCGAGGTGGATTGCCGTCGCAGGCGGTGGTGCCGTTGCCGGAGCATGGGGGAGCCGCCGTGTCGGAATTCTGAAATTGGCCTAGTGGGCCTTGGAACTGATTTTGGATTTGTTTGGGACATTTGTAGGTACTATTAATGCGTTTCAATTCTCGAAGAAAAATTTAGGGAACCCGAGAATTGCCCGTAGGCGCAATCGAACAGCTTAGCTTTTCAGGTATCAAATCGAGTAAGGATCTCTCACCTTATTCCCTATCATATAATTGAAGTTTAAATAAATAATAATACAATATTTGTGTGAATTTAGAAAATGTGCATAATTAATTACGGATTGCTAATGGAGCCAGAATCAGATATTTTCTATTATGGCTTTGAATGCATGTATGGTTTATTTTATGTGTGTACTGCTGAATCGAGAAAAATGAAGGTTAAACGGTAAACATTGTGTGATGAAATAAATAGATGAAATGACAGCCTTTTTAGATATTCTGGGAAATGGTGGACGGACCAATGACATAGGGAATCCTACCGTGAGCGTTGTCTCATACCGGACGGGGGTATGGAGACTTGATAATTTGGCACTCATACCGAACGTGGTATGGGACGACCCCCTTTACTCTCATACCGGTCGGGGTATTGAGATTTGGTAAATTAGCGCTCATACCGGACGGGGTAATTGAGAATGTTAAATAAAATGGTTCACGTATAGCGGAGACATCCCTATAAACCCCCATGAATACCAACAGACTAGTAAAAAGAGTGACAGTTATTGTTTGATTTATTAATGATGGATATAGATTTATAATGTGTGTTATGATTGTTGATTATACATGGAATAATGATCTGTATAATATTATTGTATGTATAGATTATTTTTATAAATCCCACTACGGTAAATAAACGGTAAATAATTTTTATGATCAATAAATGATTTTGCTAAATTTAGTACTCAATTAGTATTTTTTTTAACCAACCGTTACTTCTGTGTCGGTGATATAATGTGATATTCTTACTGTGTTAGTGTAGCTCATCTCTTATTTAACCATTTCAGATTAAGAAAACTAGGTTCTAAAATACGACCCACAAGAGGATTGCGAGTAAATGTTAAATTTCTTTATTTTCCGTTTATTTCTTAATTCTTGTGTTTCTTTCAAAATGAAGAATTTCGTAATACTGTTTGGTACTTTCAGTCATTTGTGTAAGGAATGTAAATCCTGAACATTTATTACGTTTCTGCACTTTAATTATCTTTTATTTCCTTTGGATATTTTCGGAGTTATTACACATTATCTATGAAATGTTACTAATAATATATATAATTTTTTATAAAATCAAGTAAATTTTTAAATTAAAAGTTGTAACAAAATTATGAATTGTTCTAATTATGGTATCTATATTAATTAATTATTTTTTTTAAGAATGAGAGATAATTAAAATTTAAATGAAGTTTAATTTCTTTTCTGAATTATCAGTGATTACTTAAACACATTTTTTTATCAATTGGTTCATTTGATATTTTTACCGGACACAAAAATTACTTCATACAAAAGTTGAATAAAAAAAGAGTAAAGAAAAAGTACTTTTACACATACTATTATTTTTAAACAATCAAATTAAATTCAACTAATTATTCTCAATAGACAAATTAAGATAAGAAAAAATGATTAAGAATCTTATTATTATTCAACCCATAATAATTGTTTTTCTTAACTTGATTTAATATGTTTTCTCAAATCCTATTTTCTGAATTTTGAAAATAGTTATTCCACAATTATTTTTAAATTTAATTAAATTCTTTGAATTTAATAATTATTTAGCTCGTGATAATTTCTATTTTAATTTAATTTAATATATTTTCTTAATTTTTTCCCTAAAATTTTGGTTTTGGAATTTGGTTTTTCTATATTTATTTGGATTTAATTTGATGTTTGAATTTAATATATTTCATATACATTGTTATTTGAATTTAATTTAATTGTTTGAATTTAATATAATTACTGCAATTTACTAAAATTGTATATATTTTTAAAAGTTTTTATTTAATTTGATTTTTTGAATTTAATAATTATTCAATCTGTAATAATTATTTGATTATTATTTAAATAATTATTTGCTTATTTATTTTAAAAATGTCTACCCGTAATAATTACTTTTTCTTAGTTATTAAATTAAAAAAAAATTAATTATTAAGAATAATTGTTTGAATTTAGTGTAATTGTTTAATTAATAAAATTACGGCATTAATGAAATTAATATTTTAACACAATAAAAATTAATAAAATTAAAATTGAATTACCGTTTTAAAATTAATTTTTTCAGATTATAAATTATTTACGGCAGAAGAAACAAAAAAAAAAAAACAGAAAATACAGCCGAACGAGCGCATAATCTCCCGGCTCTCTGTGTCTGCAGCTACGAGGAGAATGCCAGGCGTGCGGGTCTCGAAGCTAGCGATTGCATCTTCATCGCAGCTCTACTGAGTAAAATTTCCGACAGAGAGAGTGAAGAGAATCTAGTTTGTTTGATCGAAAACATTAGTACAAGGATAGACATTGAAAAGGAGAAGGAAGTGGAGAAGATACTAAAGATTTGAGACGAAGATGGAAGGAGGAGGCGGCTTGGTTCAAGACCAATCACAGCAGCAACAGATGCAGGTGCAACCGCAACAGGCACCGCCGGCCGAGAGGCTAAACCAGGAGTTGGTACAGCTGCTCAACTTGGAGTCTCTCAAGACTCGAGTCATCAGTCTTTACAAGGCCATTTCTCGGATCATCGAAGACTTTGACGCCTACGCTCGCACCAACACTACCCCTAAATGGTTCTTATTCTCTCTCTCGTTTGATTTATAACACAAGTTTAGATAATTGCGTTATATTTCAAGTTCATTTTGTATGTCAGTGAGTTCCGCATATCGTTTATCGAGTCTATACCTTCTGTAAGTCATGGTTAGACTGTTCATTTTCATTTTTTTTTGAAATAATACTGTTCAAGTTTCATACTTCTGGTTTTCATGTTACTTCCCTGCCTAGTAGAAAAGTATCTTCTTCCTTTTCAAGGGTTCCGTCTCGTGTATGTATATTCTGCTTCTCCTGGAGTTCATAGGAGGAATGACTTTTTGTTAATTCCTTAGCTATTTTAATTTTCAATTCAACCTGGAATCGCTAGGATGGGAAGTCAACGGGAGGGGAACAAATTGAGAATTTGTCAAAGTGGAAATAAGAACTACAAACATAGCACATATTCGTACGATCATTTGTCAATCATTTCTTTGCTTTCCTTCATTGTTATTAGTATTATTTCTGTGAGCTGCCTCTGCTAAAATTCTCTGTGTTGCTCCCAGGCAAGATATTTTAGGGCAGTATTCAATGGTGAATCTTGAGCTCTTCAACATAGTGGAGGATGTCAGGAAGGTTTCCAAGGCTTTTGTTGTGCATCCAAGGAATGTAAATGCAGAGAATTCCACAAGTATGGTTGTTTTATTTGCAATTGACATTATGAAGGCACAGACACACACGGATAGATGAGTAAATTCATGTAGATTAACATATGTATTCGCCCTGAATCATTTCAACCAAGTGCTATGCCTGTTGGAAGTTTCTTGTTATGGTGTTGGGTAAACTCTAATTTGCTTGCTCTTACACAGTTCTCCCAGTTATGTTGTCCTCTAAGTTATTGCCGGAGATGGAAACTGATGACAACTTCAAAAGAGATCAATTGCTTCATGGAATGCAAAGCTTGCCAGCACCCCTGCAAATTGAGAAATTAAAGGTGATGTAGAATTATCTAAGAATCCAATGATGTTTTTCCATGAGAGCCTTTGTTTTAAGAACATACTTTTCTAGCTTTACAGGCTAGAATTGAGATGATTGGAGCAGCCTGTGAAGGTGCTGAAAAATTGTTAGCTGAGACTCGTAAAGCATATTGTTTTGGTTCTCGGCAAGGGCCACCGATTCTTCCAACTTTGGACAAGGGCCAAGCTGCTAAGATTCAAGAGCAGGAGAACTTACTTCGTGCTGCTGTAAATTATGGAGAAGGTGATAGTCTCAACCGCAATATCTTCCTGCCTTTTCTTGCTTTGGTCTCTATCTATCCTTACATTTGTGTATGTGCTTCTCTTAATGTTGAAATTCATACAGGAGATATAACCTAATAGAAGAAACCCATTATCCTAACTCCCTTTTTACTGAAGCACAGACAAGCGCCCTTGTTTTATATTTGAACAAATGGTACTAAATCATGGTGCATCTAGGAGCATAAGCCACTTTTCACTTGTCTTCCTGACTAAAAGAAAAATCATAAAATATCAGTCATGCAGGCCCTAATAATTGGTATCTTCTGGTAAATGTTTGGCTCATGAAAACTGTCAAAGCAACTTCAGCTACTCATGCATGCTTGTCAGTAACCCTCTTCAATTTCAAAACTTGTTTAAAAAAAAATTACAGTCATTTTCTCTGGAGTTTTTTGCTATAATACTATTTTCTTTTCATCTCGAAAAACTTTTGTTGTGAAATTTGCTTCATAGTCCTCCCAAGAATGCTATTATTAGTCTTAACCATAGTGATCACACCATGGATATATTTGGTAGGGTATGAAATGAGCAGAATACCTATGTTTTGGTTAAGCTTGGTAGATGAAGAGAATGGTTGAATTTTATATAGTACCTCGTAAATACTGAAAATTTGTACATGAGGAACCAAAACCCTTGTAATGATCTGCTAATGAATTCTCTTAGAAATGGACTTACTCCAAAATGTGAAGACGGAAAAGCCTGAACCTCAAAGTCCAAAATAGTAGAGAACAGTCAAATCGTTTGCCTAGCCTAGTTCACTCTAGAGAGGCACATCTTTTATCTGGGGCATGTGCCCTTTCAGAAATGAGTATAGGGATGACAATAGCTCAGGTTTGGGGCAGATTTCGTAAACTCGAATCTGACCTCCTTTAGATGAAAGAAACTCGATCCCACCTCGGATTCAGTGCAGGTTCCTAAAAATGACATTTTTTTTCACACCAAGCAAGTTTCGGGTACCCTGCCCCGCCCCACTCCACCCCACCCCACCCTACTCCCTCCTCATCCATATTTTGTCCTTTTTTTTCCTCCTCCTCATCATCATCACTGCTGTTGCCAAGCTTTCTCTTCTCTTCTTCTCTACTTGTTTGCTTCTCCTCTTCTTTCTATTTTGTAAAAAAGCTTCTCATGGAAGCATGAAGCTTTCATGAAAAGCTTCCATGGAAAGCTCTGCATTACATATATATATATATATATATATATATATAGCTTCCATTACACACACACACACACAACATGAGAGCATGGAGGTGACTTTAGTGGGTAAGCCACTTCAGTGGCTAATGGGTGTTAGGGTTTTTTAAATATTCACTATATATATATTTTAGACTTTTAATTAAAATTTTAAAATTATAATATTTAACATATATATACAAAAGTTGCTCGTGTTTGGACAGTTTTTTAATCTTCAAACCAAACCCAAACCAGCTCCGGCCCAGTATGGCACCAACAAAAATCCATCCCAAAGTAACTTGCATCTGTTTTCTTTTGGTTG